ATTTCAGAAATTATTGAAAATACTGTCCAGGCCAAGCCAAAAATGATTTAATAATTTTTATGAAGTTCAATTAAGTACCTCAAGTAATTAACTTTTAAAATGCAACACTTTAATACAGTCTAAAGGGACACTAATTTGATACATGCTGAAAATGTCCATAGGAAAATCATTCATTCATTGTTTTCATAACTAAATCATGTTCCCTAAGAGAAGGAAACATTGTATACATAGCATACAGTGGCATCAAATTGATGGAGTGTTTGCGGCCCTGTTGGCTGGTGTTGGTGGTGTTGGTAGCACCCTCTTGCATGTGTTTGCGGCCGGGTTGGCGGTGTTGGTGGTGTTGGTAGCACTCTGTTGCATGTTGTGCAGTGTGGACAGAGCAAGGCTGCAGTGTACTTCTGTGACGCAGCATGGGCGAGAACAATTCCAGTGATACCTGGGTTCCCCGTTTATTTGCTGCTGAATTAGGGTTTGTCTACTGTGTTCTTGGAAACATTTTACTGTTGTCTTTGATTTATTTGCTTGCTTTTGATTTTGCATCCACTGGGGCTTTTGAAACCTCAAAGCATAGCCCCAGTGTCACACTTTCTCCAACAAGGCCACACCTCCTGATACTTCTAATCCTTTTTAAAGAGTCCCACTCCCTTGGTGACTAAGCATTCAAACATATGAGCCCGTGGAGACTATTCTTATTCAAAAAATGTTCAAACACACACTGCTTTATTGCTATGTTCCTTTAACAGAACAATAAGAATGTACTTTCTCCTAGGGCCCATGACCTGTCTAATCTCAGGTTCTTGACCTCTACAGCAGTGTCACATACGGGCTCAGTCTCATGGACTGGGGCCTTAAATTCAATCAGAACCTGGTTGGTTACTACCATGACATTTGTGCCAAAATGTTCAAACATTTATACAATGGAATATTATTCAGCTGTTAAGACAAATGAAATTATAGGTAAATAGATGGAGCTAGCAACAGTCATCCTGATTGATGTAACCCAGACCCCAAAAGACAAATATTACATGTTTTCTCTTATATGTAGATGTTATCTTTCAAGCTTTAGATGTGTGTGTGTGTGTGTGTATGTGTGTGTGTGTGTGTGTGTGTTTCAATCTGAGTATCCACAGAGGTTAGGTAGCTATAGAGACCAGGGAATGGAGGGGATTTTTACCCCCTTCTTTGCCACTGCTTCATGGTAGTTATAAGACCTTAAGAAATTAAGGAAGACATCAGAAGGTGGAAAGATCGCCCATGCTCTTGGATAGGTAGGATCAACATAGTAAAAATGGCAATCTTACCTAAAGCAATATACAGATTTAATGCAATCCCCATTAAAATCCCAGCACAATTCTTCACAGACCTTGAAAGAATAATCAACTTTGTATGGAAAAACAAAAGACCCAGGATAGCCAAACCAACCTTATTTAACAAAGCAATATCTGGAGGCATCGCCATCCCTGACTTCAAGCTCTATTATAGAGCTGTAGTCCTGAAAACAGCTTGGTATTGGCACAAAAATAGAAAGGTAGACCAATGGAATCAAATTGAACACCCTGATATTTACCCATACATGTATGAACATCTGATTTTCGACAAAGAAGCTAAAACTATACAATGGAAAAAAGAAAGCATCTTCAACAAATGGTGCTGGCATAACTGCATGCTGACATATAAAAGACTGCATATAGATGCATGTTTATCGCCATGCACAAAACTTAAGTCCAAATGGATCAAAGACCTCAACATGAATCCAGCCACACTGAACCTGTTAGAAAGTGGGAGGCACCCTTGAACGAATTGGTACAGGAGACCGCTTCCTGAGCATAACAGCAGTAGCACAGACACTGAGATAAACAATTAATAAATGGGACTTCCTGAAACTGAGAAGCTTCTGTAAAGCAAAGGACATAGTCAGCAAGACAAAAAGGCAGCCCACAGAATGGGAAAAGATATTCACTAACCCCACATCTGGCAGAGGGCTGATCTCAAGAAGCAAGTCTCCAAAACACCAAAGGATCCAATCAAAACATGAGGTACAGAACTAAATAGAGAATTCTCAATAGAGAAGACTAAAATGGCTGAGAGACACTTGAGAAAAAGTGCTCAACATCCATAGCCATCCGGGAAATGCAAATCAAAACAACTCTGAGATACCATCTAACTCTGTCAGAATGGCTAAAATCAAAAACTCCAACGACAGTTTATGCTGGAGAGGATGTGGAGAGAGGGGAACACTCCTCCATGGCTGGTGGGATTGCTGACTCGTACAGCTACTTTGGAAATCAGTATGGCGATTCCTCAGGAAAATGGGACTCAGTCTACCACAAGACCCAGCAACTCCACTCTTAGGCATATACCCAAAAGATGCTCATTCATACAACAAGGATGTCTGTTCCACTATGTTCATAGCAGCATTATTTGTAATAGCCAGAACCTGGAAGCAACCTAGATGTCCCTCACCCGAAGAGTGGATAGAGAAAATGTGGTACATTTACACAATGGAGTATTACTCAGCAGAAAAAAAACAATGGAATCTTTAAATTTGCAGGCAAATGGATGGCACTAGAAGAAACCATCCTGAGTGAGGTAACCCAGTCACAAAAAGAGAAACATGGTATGTACTCACTCATTTACGGATTTTAGACATGAATCAAGGGAGTGCCAGCATACAATCGCACTGCCAGAGAGTCTAGGAAACAGAATGTTCATCCAGTGACTGATGAAATCAGAGGCAGATACCCACAGACAAACACTGAACTGAACTCCTGGAATCCAGTGTTAGAAAGAGAGAACTGATGGGCAAAGGAGTTAATAGTGGGCTGGTTTAACTCCACAGACACAGTTGACCTGAACAAGGGGGAGCTCTTGGACTCCAGATTGATGGCTGTGTGGAAAGCATGGGACTGACCCAGACCCCCTGAATGTGGGTGTCAGTGAGGAGGCCTAGGTAATCTATGGGGCCTTGGGTAGTATTTACCCCTGGTGTGCAAATAGACTTTGAGTGCCCATGCCACGATATGGGAAGCTCTCTTAGCCGGGACTCTTGGAGGAGGGCCTAGGCCCTGCCCTGGATGAAATGACAGTTACTGGAGATCTACCATGGAGGGCCTCACCCTCTCTGGGGATCGGAGTGGAGATTGGGTGGGGGACTGGGGGACCTGGTGGAGAGGGTGGGGGAGGAAGGGAGGGAGAGAGAGCTGGGATTGACATGTGAAACAAGATAGTTTCTAACCTAAATAATAATAATAAAAAAGAACTGACTTCAACATCTATAATCATTATTGTGATCATCTTTATTTCCTCCTCATCTTCTGTCTCCTTTATCTTCCTCCCCATTCAGTTCCTCTACCTCCTCCTTTTCTATTTTGAAATTATTTTATTACATTCATCTATTTGCTAATACTTTCCCTCTCCCTCCATCCATCTTCTCCCTCTCTCTCTCCCTCCCCCTCTCTCTTCCTCCCTGGTTCCCCCCCCATGTGTGTGTATGTGTAATCAGAGATCCACTTGTTAGAGTTGGTTCTCTCCCTTAACGTATAGGATCCAAGAACTGAACTAAAGTCACTGAGCTGTCTCACTGGTCCCCTTTTTCTATGTTTCTTTTGTTTTTAGACAATATCTCTTTGTGTAGCACAGGATGTCCTCAAATTTCTGATTCTTTTGCTTTAACCTGTTGAGAACTATGAATGCTGAGATTACAGGCAGAGAACCACCATTCAGGCTCTCTTTTGTTTTGTTTTTCTTAGAGTAGTAGCAATCTCTTACTAGATAATTAAATTATGCTTTTCACTTAAGTCTCTGCTCTCCTCCAGAGCTAAAGCTGTTGTTTTTATTTTGTGTCTTTGCTACCTAGGAGTGTATTTCTTGGTATTAGGAAGCATTCAGAATATGGGATTGTATAAAAAGGAAATATTGCCTAGCCTCTCATTCCCCTTTTCCCCCTTTATTTTTTTACTGCTTTGGGACTCAGAAGGCCTGGGGCAGAGACACTCAGGAATAGTCGCTAAGGATATGAGCTCAGATTTTCTTTTCTCTTCTTTCTTAAACCTTGGTTTTTATTATATGTGTCTGGGTGTTTTCCCTACGTAAATGTCTGTGTACATGTACATACAGTGCCAGCAGAGATCAGATGAGGGTATCTAATGCCCGGGACTGGAGATACCCATAGTTGTGAGCTGTCATTTGGGTACTGGGAATGGATTCCTAGTCCTTTGGAACAGCAGCCAGTGCTCTTAATCATTGAGCCATCGCTCCAGTCCCTCAAGATTTTCTTTATGTTAATAGTAATTTAATAAAAAGTTGCTTGAACCTTTCTGCATTGCAGCTTTCACTAGCACAAAGAACAAGTTTTGTGTCTTTATTATTTAAGCATAGTCACATAGAAAGTATGTTTACTCTGTGTGTGTGCATGTACATGTGTGCATGTGTGTACAAGTGTGCTACAACATACATGCAAATTTCAGAGACATTTAGCCTGCCACCATGTGGGTTTCATGGATTGAACTTAGGTTGCCAGATTTAAGCCCCTTAACCCCCCACCCCATCAGCATCTGGTTGGCCCCTAAGAAAGGTTTTTCTTTTTAAAACTTCATTTAATGCCTTAAATGCTTTACTTTTATGAAAGGCTTTATAGAATACTTTTGTAATTATTTATTTATTACATATTACTTTTTTTTTCTTTGGTTTTTTTTTTTTTTAACACAGGATTTCTCTGTGTATTCCTGGCTGTCCTGGAGCTTGTTCTGTAGACCAGGCTGGCCTCAAACTCAGAGACCTGCCTACCTCTGCTGGGATTAAATGCGTGTACCACCACTGCCTGGCTTTAAATGTTGTCTTCTTAAAAGCTACTTTGATACTACTATCCATATGTATATTTAGAGTATATTGCTTTATAGAAGCTGCAAGAAATATACAAGTATATATTAAAAATTCTTGTTTTCACTGGTTTTATATGTCGATGTAAATATTCATAATGTTTGCACTTTCATTTCTAGGAATAAGAAACTTTTAAATAAGAAGAAATTGAAACGAAAACAGAAGAGCAAGTCAAAAGTAAAGACAAGAAACAAGGTAAAGTTACTAGCAACTTGTTGACATAGTAATTGGAACAAAAATGAAAAAACTTAAAAATAGAGTATAATTAGTAAAAAATTATGTTTTATGTGCTAAAGTAATTTGGTAAAAGCCTCTTTTTAAAAGTAATTTTTGAATTATTCTTTGGAATTTTTATGCCTGTTTACAATGCATTTTGATCTTACCTACTCACACGACCTCCATCCAGTTATTCCCAGGACCTACCAAGCCACCTCCTTCCCAATGTCATGTTCTTTTAATAAGAATTATTAATAGCCTATCTATTGCAATGAGTGTGGGGCCGCCCACTTCTGCATGCTCTACCATGTCCACATCCCCATAAGCAAATCATTTATTATTTTTCTTCTTTTGGTGTGTTATTCATTAATCTACCTTGAGTAGCTTCTTGGTTAATATCTAGAAGTTAATATCTGGGTGCTGAGATTACTCATTACTTATTCTCACTATATTTACTCATTTCTTGAGAGGAATGCATTCACTCTTCTTTTTCCATTCTGACTACTTGTACTAGAAACACTAAACTTGGATTGTGCATTAGGGTTTGGATTTGGATTCATTGTATGCTTTTCTTGGTGAAGTAAGGAGCCTTTTGATATATCTGTTCTGCTCAGAGCTTGATTAGTCATAGCTGTACACAGAAAAGGCTGTGCATATTCTTTGAGTTAGAGGCCTTAAGGGACCAGGTATTTCCACTTTTTGTAGAAATCCTGACATAAAGTCCCTCTCATTTTGTCATTTGCAGTGACCAGAGCCTACTTTCTGTAGAGGAATCTTTCCCCCTGAACATCAGTAGTGTGAAATAAGAAGAGTAGTTGTAACTGGTTTCTGAGCTGTTCTGCTTTGGGATATAGAAACAGGAGCTTAACCAGATCTTTATATTCTATTTAACTTCCCGAAGGAAGTGTTTCTTGCTTTTCTAAATTAATGTTTTTGCTGATGTTAACTAAATAAAATATACTTCAAAATAGTAAATCAAAGATAAACTAATATGTTTGTGGGGGTGGAATTTATTTGATAGCTTTATATTGAAACATAGTTGGATGCAGGAATTAAATAATAGGAAATTTGTGTCTTTGTCTCTCATTTTTTCTTCCATTGTATGTGGGCTTATTGCGTGTGACTGAGGACTGAAGCTTCTGGCAGTATCAACTTCATTTTCTTTTAGTAAAAAGCAATCGCTTTCACAAGTTCTAGCAGAGAGTCTTAGGTAGGGCATTTTATTGAATTCTAGCAAATGTATGACTTTATTTAAACTGAATTATGTTTAATAGTTAAAACTGTTATGTTTGTAATTCAGCAATGAGTGGCTGTGTCATGTGGACAAGATGAGAGCTCCTCAGAGGAAAGCTGTGTTGGATGGATGGCCTGGATAAATAATAGTTTTTGGTTTGGTTTGGTTTGGTTTTTTTGGTTTTTCTAGACAGGGTTTCTCTGTATTGTTTTGGAGGTTGTCCTCTGGAGACCAGGCTGGCCTCAAACTCACAGAGATCGCCTGCCTCTGCCTCTGCTGGAATTAAGGGCATACGCCACCAAAGCCCAGCTACTTGTTTTTTGTTTGTTTGGTTTTGGTTTTTCAAGACAGGGTTTCTCTATGTAGCTTTGGCTGTCCTGGAACTGGCTATCTGTATTCCAAAAATTTTATCCTCTTCTGTGACTCAGTTTTTTTTTTTTTATTTCCCCACCCTACTTGATATCCTCCATGTGATCTCCCTGCACCTCCCATCCCCACGCACTCCCAGTTCACTCATATTCTATCTCCCTCTCCCAGGGAGACCCATGCCTTCTCCTCTAGACCCCTCCTCTTTACCTAACCTCCCTGGGTCTATGGATTATAGCTTTGTTATCATTTCCTTAGTGGCTAATACCCATTTATAAGAGAATATATACCATAGTTATCCTTCTGTGTCTGGGTTACTCTTTTGGATATTTGTACACTTTGTGAAGATATGTTGCTGTGATTGGCTTAAGGGCTGAACAGCCAATAGCTAGGCAGGAGGCATAAGCAGGACTTCTGGGCAGAAAGAGAGGAAGTGGACATGAGTCTGGGTGCACAGATGCCTTGGAGATGGAGAACCAGTTGGACACAAAGAATGAGAGAGAGGTAAAGGCCATGTGGTAGAACGTAGATTAATAAAAATACGGGTCAATTTAACTTGTAACTGCTAGTTATAAGCCAGTTTCTGGCTATTATGAATAAGAAATAATGAACATAGTTCAACAAGTGTTCTTGTAGTACTATGAGTATCCTTTGGGTACATGCCCATGAATGTTATAAGCTAGGTCTTGAGGTAGACTGATTCCCAACTTTGTATGGAACCGACATTGATTTCCATAGTGGCTGTACATGAGCAGTGGAACAGGTGTTCCTTTTGCTCAACATCCTCCCCAGAATGGACTGTCACTTGTGGTTACTGATTTTAACCATTTTGACAGGTATAAGATGGAATCTCAAAGTAGTTTAAATTTGCATTTCCCTGATAGCTAAGGATGTTGAACGTTTTTAAAAGTGCTTATTAGCCAGCCGGGCGCACGCCTTTAACCCCAGCACTTGGGAGGCAGAGGCAGGCGGATCTCTGTGAGTTCAAGGCTAGGCTAGACCGACAGCCTCCAAAATAATACAGAGAAACCCTGTCTCGTAAAACCAAAAAAAAAAAAAAGTGCTTATTAGCCATTTGAGATTCCTTTATTGAGAATTCTCTGTGTTTAGAATGTACCCCATTTTAATTGGATTATTTGTTCTTTTTACATCTGATTTCTGTATATATTTTGGATATTAGTCCTCCATGGGATGTGGAGTTGTTAAAAATCTTTTCCCATTCAGTAGGCAGCTGCTTTGTCCAAGTGATGGTGCCCTCTGTCTTTGAGAAGCTTTTCAGTTTCATGAAGTCCCATTTTTCATTGTTGATCTTAGTGCCTGCGCTACCAGGGTTCTGTTCAGAAAGTTGTCTCCTGTGCCAATATGTTTAAGACTGTTCCCCACTTTCTGTTCTATTAGGTTCATTGTATCTGGTTTTTACCAATTTGGAGTTGAGTTTTGTTTAGGGTAATAAATATGGATCTATTTGGATTCTTCTCCATGCAGACATCATCGTGATCAGCACCATTTGTTGAAGATGCTGTGTTTTTGTTTTTGTGTGTATTCCTGTCTTCTTTATGAAAAATCAGGTGTCCATGTGTGTGGATTTATGTCTGGGTCTTCAATTAGATTCCATTGATCAGTGTGTCTGTTTTTATGCCAATACCATGTGGTTTTATTACTATAGTTCTGTAGCACAACTTGAGATCAGGGATGGTGTTACTTCTAGCAGCTCTTTTATGGTTCAGGGTTGTCTTATCTATCCTGGGTTTCTTGTTTTTCCATCTGAAGTTGAGAATTGTCATGTTAAGCTCTGTAAAGAATTGTGTTGGAATTTTGATGGGGATTGCATTGGATCTGTAGATTGCTTTTGGTAGGATGGCCATTTTTACTGTGTTAATCCTGTGATTAACATGAACATGGGGATCTTTTCATCTCCTGATAACTTTAATTTCTTTCTTTAAAGTTTTGAAGTTTTTCTCATACAAGTCTTTCACTTGCTTGGTTAGAGTTGCCCCAAGATATTTTGTGTTATTTGAGGCTATTGTGAAAGGTATTGTTTACCTGATTTCTTTCTTAGTCCACTTGTCATTTATATATGGGAATGCTACTGATTTATTTTTATTTTTATTTTCCTTAATCTTGTATCCAGCTACTTTGCTGAAAGTGTTTATCAGCTGTAGAAGTCCCCGGTGGAATTTTTTAGGGGACTTCTTCACTTACTTATGTTTGGTATCATATCATTTGCAAATAACTATACTTTGGCTTCTTTTCCAATTTGTATCTCTTCCTTCAGTTGCCTTTTTTCTCTAGCTAAGATTTTGAGCACTGAATTGAATAGGTATGAAGAGAGTGGAAAACCTGTTCTTGTTCCTGATTTTAGTGGAATTTTTTTCTATTTTATTTTTTAATTTACATTAGAAACAAGCTTGTTTTACATCATGTCAATCCCAGTTCCCTCTCCCTTCCCTCCTCTCATGCCCCCCCCATAGCCCCTTATCCCACCCCCTCCTGCTCACCAGGGAGGGTGAGGCCTTCCATGGGGGATCTTCAAAGTCTGTCGTATCAATTGGAGCAGGACCTAGACCTTCCCCTGTGTGTCTAGGCTGAGAGAGTATCCCTCTTTGTAGAATGGGCTGCCAAAGTCCATATGTATGTTAGGGATAAATACTGATATACTACCAGAGGCCCCATAGATTGCCAAGGCCTCTCCCCTGAGTGGGGACAGGAGTAGCCCAGCGATATCAGCAGACTCGCATTTGCTTCTGGAATTTCTTTGAGTATGTTTCTATTTAATTTGATGTTGGCTATGGGCTTGCTGTAAATTGCCTTTATTATATTGAGGTATTTCCCTTGAGTCACTAATCTTTCCAGACCTTTTATCATGAGGGGTTTTGTCAGAGGCCTTTTCTGCATCTAATGAGATGATCATGTGCTTGCTTTATTTTTTTATTTTTAATTATGAAGCTGTTGGCCTTGCTTGTTTCTTACTGGCTAGCTCTGACTTAAGTAATTTACTCCATAATTGTTAATCTAAGTATTCCTCTTACTGGAGAAGTTTCCAGGCTTCCTACCCCATAGCGTTACATCTCAACTCCCCGTGTTTCTCCTATGTTTCTCCTACCCAGAGTCCTCCTGGATTTCTAGTCCCACCTATCTTGGTTCCCTATTGGCCAACAGTGCTTTATTGACATATACACAGGACTTCCCCTATCATCTCTTCTTTTCTGTCTAAACAAAAAGAAAGGTCTTAACTTTAACATAGTCAAATTATATATAACAGAACAGCTATCAAGCAAGAACACAGTTACAATACTTTGTCTATCAACATTCAGTAAGATTTAAAGAAAATATCATCCATCCCATTCTTGTGAGTCCAAAGTTCTATATGTAGCTTATC